CTCAAGGAGGCCAAAAGAAGCGCTACAAGGACACCCTTAAGACTGCTCTGAAAGCTTTCAACATCAACCACACCATGAGGGAGCTGATAGCTCAGGACAGGAATGACTGGCGGGCAGTTGTCCAGAAAGGGGCAACTTCCTGCGAGGCATGCAGAATCTCACTAGCCGAGCAGCGCAGGCAGGCGAGGAAGACCAGAGCCATCAGACCCCTCGATGCCGCCACCCTTCCCTGTCCACACTGCCAGAGAACGTTTCGTGCGCCTGACAAGTCATCTGTGTACTCACCAACTTCGACCCTAGGATGACTAGATGGTCCTCGTCGAATCGACGGACAAAAACTGTAACAAGAGACGTCTACAACTTCTCCGACTGCTGGGCTGAGCATGTGATGCGCTGTGGCCTTTAACCCATCAAACCAGCAGGTCTTGAAGGGAAAGACATGGCAGCTTTGTATACTTATAGTTCTTGGACTATCATTATTTCTTCGCCGGTGTTGGTATTGTGAGGATCATTGTCACTGTTAAAAGCTCTGCTCTTTGAACTCCAGGTCTATCTCTGAGGGTAATTGATTTATTGCCTGTGACTAGCCTGATTGTTCATGCAGTATTTCTTGCGAATTTGTGATCTCGTTTTGAGGACATCAATGGAGGTTTGGCTCACTACTACTACTCTGCACCTCTCCTTCCGACAGTATTTAAGTCTCAACACTGTCGCTTGATCTTCAGTTAGTTCCAGACTTTGGAACAGAACTTCTCCAGGCTGAAGGACTGACAACCTCAAATCTACGACTTCAAGGGTGACAGACTGATTACATAGTCTTCACATCTCTACTGCTCCTGCCTACTTTTTGTACTCGACTGAAGAAGCCTACTGTGTAGGCGAAACGTTTCGGAATAAAGTTGCCTAAATGTTGACTGTGTGTCTTATCTACCAACTCAATGCCGTTCACAGAAACAAGCAAAAGAATGTGCAAAGAAATATCGAGTCAGCGGGATTCTAACCTAAGTGGCCTGGTCTCCACAGACTATAGTTAACTGCCAACCTAAAGCCAACTACTTAGCTACAAATGCCACAAGACGTCAGTTAGCCAGCTGAATTGCACTCCATGATTCTCCTAACGCCGCTTGACAGAGACGGGAGTCTAACTGATGCTATGAAGAAACTTCTTATGGTGACGAAGTGTGCTTCAGGCCGGGTAGTTGATACAACTGGCCATCATGATGCCGTAGCGGAGTGTTAGGTACGCTCGGCGGAAACGGAGGGAAGGCACATTTGCTTCAACCTTGAGTCTCTCAATCAGAGTGCGCTGAAATACTTCAAGACACACACATTCTGTACTTCCTCAATGTAGTATCGCTTACCAGACCATACACCTGTGAGCCATAGTATAATTTAGATCGAATCATAACCTTATACACTACTAATAAACACATTCTTTCGGCTCTCTAGTATGTATTGATAAGAAACTATGAACCTAGCCTCTCTTACTCTGGTAAAATTTGATTGGCAACTCATTCAGTCAGTCTTTTAAAGATTGTGGCCGTAATGATTTGCAAGTGATTGTCAGTTTCAAGTGATGTATACTATCAGCATTACCTCAGCATAATACTCCCAGTGGCAATGACATGTCAGAGGCTTTCTCAACATATAAAAATGCAGCAATAACAAAGTTTTCGCATGACTCAACTAACAATTAGCGTTTTATTCACCAGTCTCTCCATGACTTTGCCCAGGCAGCCAGTCAAAGCAATAGTTCGGGAAAGAGAGGGGTTCGTCATCCTCCAGTGCTTTTGGGAATCAATGCAACATGTGCATAGCGCCATGACTTTGGAAACGTGCAAGATGTTCAAATCATGTTGTACGATGCGAGCAACTTAAGCAGACTCGGCGACTTAAGACATGCAGTAGCATGTCTTATGTCACCTATTAAGGACCAGGACTTTGACTTTTACGGAATTTCAGGGCAGGACGTAGTTCATGTAGAGCAAAAATATAATTATATGTAGTGGTATGTCCTTCTGTGGCAAACTCGATGGGTTTATGCTCGGTTTCAACTTAGAGCTACAAGAAAGTAGGAAGGTAGTTGGTCGAGCTGCTACTGAATGCAAAACTCCGGCGACGGTGTTGGCTATTTCCACTGACGTGTTCACAACGGTGTTGTTTTTAAATAACAAAAAAGGCACAATACCGTGACTGGAACGATACACAAATAACCCGCACATAAAAGAGAGATGCTTACGACGACGTTTCGGTCCGACTTGGACCATTGACATGTCAATGGTCCAAGTCGGACCGAAACGTCATCGTAAGCTTCTCTTTTTTACGTGCGGGTTATTTGTGTATGGTGTTGTTTTTGTGTTGCATTAGTGTCTCAATTCTTCAAGTAATTTAGGGTTGAGCAGTTGATCAAAAAAAAGTAAATTAATCCTATCAACATCTCGTGCCATGGAATTAGTATAGTAAACCGAACAAACAGCTAGGTATGCATCATTTAATTTTGCATGTAACTGAATAGATAGTCGAAATGAAAATGCTCCATCTGAAGGAAATGTTTTGTGAAAATGGAGAGCGGCTCCCCGCCCTTTATCCCTTCTATACAAAGGGTAACTTATAATGGTAGTACAGTTTATGACTGTAATAGAAGTGTATCTTGTAGACAGATGACGGATGGTCGATAAAGCCCTATCAGGGTAAGTGTTGGTTTAAGATTGTCGGATCCTATCAGAGCGATATTGTCGAATTCTTTTTGATCCACGAGAGGAGGGACAGCGAGACTTACAGCGTGTCTCGCTTGTCCTCTTAATGGCGTACAAAACAGTCGGAAGAAGGAACATGGAGAGAAGTCTCAGGTGGAGCGACAGCAGGGGTAGCTGATCCAGAAGACTTAAAACAGGAAGGTTAGGAAGATGCAGGAGTCAGGGGCAGACTCTGCGTGCTAGCAGTACAATTTACAGGCTGAGCTCATACTGGTGAGTCATAAGATTCACCCGAAAGTCTCATAGGGTTACTCAATCTTTGTTATAGCCTCACCATACTGGGGCATTTTCTGTCAAAACTGGGATGGGCTCCATTTCAGTTCAGAAAACGCTTGACCTGAGATCGGCATACTTCAGTCTCGTATTCATCACTTTCACACTCTCCACAGCGTGGGTCAACAGTTCAAGCCTTTTGACCATGTTCATAAAGCTGGCAACAAACACAAGGAGTAAGGTATAAATACTTTAATCTCAACACGGAGGTAGGATAGAAGGGCAGCTTTACCAAAGATCAGACAAATAAGAGGAATCCTTCTTCATATATCAGACAAATAAGAGGAATCCTTCTTCATATATCAGACAAATAAGAGGAATCCTTCTTCATATATCAGACAAATAAGAGGAATCCTTCTTCATATATCGCCAACCAACTTTGTCATGAAATGTACATCAATTACTTCCTGAGCCTTAGGTTCATTAACAATGTCATCCTCGTCTAAATTCAGCAGATACTTGCAGAAGATAAGGCCCTTGCAAAAATTCATGTTGACGAGTATGAATGCCTCTACATCATAACAATATTTTTTTCGAGTTTCATCAAGTCCTTAGTTTGTGAAGCAGACTTAACAGAAATCACCAGTGTTCCATGGGCTAGTTTTGTCTGCATTATGACATTTATAGGAGAGCGCTAAATCGATAAGGGCCATACTTCACTTGGGGAAATGGAAGACATTCAGGTCAATCCTTAGATCAAGAACCACTCACAGCGGTCAGTTTCTTAACATGTTCTATAATCCCAAGACTCATCAGTAACTTCTAATCGATTTGAATTGAGAGAAGAAGATTCACAGAACCGTTGCATTAAATGAAACTTATGGGCTCAATTTAAGTGGAAGGAGAGAAACAACTTCCTTTTGTACCATAGGACCCCTATCAATGGGAAAATAGGCCTCTAGAGCTTTCAATAACAATCCATAAAGGTGAAGAATGTAGCTGTTTCCTTAGGGGCACGAACTTCGTATTACAAGGTGTTCACAATAATTAGCGTTGATTGGGTTGATCTCACTCACGATTCCTCACAGTGCAATCTGTGTACATTGGTCACTTCAAGTACACAAGGGCTTACTGCAACCCTGGCGGTTCTGCAAACAATCAAACTTGCGACTGTTATGATACAGTTTTTTAGAAGGATTCTAGCTCTAGGCCCCTCTAGGTTGGTACGGAAGGTTTTGACATGGAAACTACGACAAATGTGTTGGCTGACTCGGTCTTAGTCCATTTGTGTTCCTGCAGTTGAGCTTTTCGTCATGTGACAGAGGCCTTCCGCTGGCTTACCGGTTCACCCTTTTGAATAATTTGGTCATGTTAATTGCCACTGAGATTCCCTGAATTTGTCGTCATCACTTGTTGTCATTTAGTTTTTATAGTGTGTTAATATTAAATACCTCATTACAGTTAATTCTCATTGATTTCTTCTAGCATTTTCTAAATATGACTTTTTTGATTAATGATAACAATTTGTTTCTTATTTTTTAATTAAAGGAGTGCATTAATAATTTAAAAGTATGTATTTCTTAACTACCGGTATAAATCTTTCTTGCATGGCGCCCAATATCTTTCAGGTTTGATGAGTATTAATTCCGACACCACCTCCGTGTAAAACAATGTCCTTGTGGCATGTTAGTTCCTTAAGCAGATTTCTGTGCATATTGTACATATTTGTTTGTGTCACAATTAAAATTTACACCTTGTCCTCTGACTCCTACCTCAGAGCTAAAAAATTGTAATTGGATTATAATCGTTCCATGTGGTGGTAAAAACCTGCTGTTTGTAATTGTGTTTTGTAAGTACTGAAGTTCTGCAACTTTTGGATTTTTTAAGTGTGTGTGTGTGTGTGTGTGTGTGTGTGTGTGTGTGTGTAACACATGGTTTTTCTAGCAGCAAGCTTATATAAATTGCATTTATACATGCAGATGTGTGTAGCTTCTTGTGTTTATAAGGAAAACTTCAAATCTTTGCCATAAGCAGGTACCAGGTGGGCGGCGGCAGTGTGAGGAACAGATGAGGACACTGAGGGAGACTCAGGAACTGCTACATGGAGAAATCGCTACGATGAAAAATTCACTGAACAAACTGACTTCCTTCGTAGCCAGCACCATCCCTGAAGACTGCAGCGTAGCACGCGCCAGGGGATCTTGGACTACTGTCACACAGGTGAGATGGTTGTCCTTTAAAAGCGACGATTCTCACTTGTACACTACAGTCACAGGAGTGGATGGTGGAGGTGTACTAGTGAGGATGGTCATCCTGTAGTGGTGAGGGTGGTGGTACTGTACTGGTGAGGGTGGTGGTCCTGTACTGGTGAAGGTGTGGGTCCTGTACTGGTGAAGGTGATGGTTCTGTACTGGTGAGGGTGATGGTCCTGCACTGGTGAGGGTGGTGGTTCTGTACTGGTGAGGGTGGTGGTCCTGTACTGGTGAGGGTGGTGATCCTGTACTGGTGAGGGTGGTGGTTCTGTACTGGTGAAGGTGGTGGTCGTGAACTGGTGTGGGTGGTGGCCGTGTACTGGTGAGAGTAGTCGATCGTGATGCACGGTGAGGGTGGTGGTCCTGTACAGGTGGTGGGATGTGTGTGTCGTGTACGGTGAGGGTGGTGGTCTTGTTACAGGTGTGTAGGGTGAGGGTGGTGGTCGTGTACTGGTAAGGATAGTGGTCGTGTACAGGTGAGGGTGGTGGTCGTGTACTGGTTTACCTGGAATTTACCTAAAGTCGCGTCTGGAGGTCGCCCATCGCACAGCCGGTGCTAGATAAGACCTCATGATTGCTGGCGTGATAAATAAAGCTGTTAGTGCCCGTCACCCGCAGTCCAACGTATGCACCAAACCGGTTCATCAAGGACTATTTTGATGAATTTGTCGACTTTCCTTGAGAAGGCAGCAATGGGTTTTCTATTAAATTTCCCTTATGCATGAAGGCAGAATGTGAAAAATCGTGTTCCCCTAACACTTACTGAGTTCTCTCTCAATGAACTCATAGTTCTTCTGTTCTTTTCATTGGAGGTATCCTGCCTCGTCTGCCAAGCCTCTGCCAATGCCGGTGTCAGCTTTAGGACCAATCCCTCCATTATCTTCCTAGTTTATATTATCTTGGCTTTTTCTCGCCTACGTTCTAATTATTACGGTTCCAGGAATTTTGAGCGTTCCCAGTTATTTAGGTGCTTCACTGAGTTTATTCGTGCTGTGAAGATTCTCTCTGTATTTACCTGCTCAGCCTATGGAGATCGAGTGATCTGAAGAGTGTCGTTATTGACTTCGCATCTCTTGAGGAACGTTCGTGTTATCTAGCTTATCATTTCTTGGAGTTGCGATAATAACATTTTTGTGGTCCTTGAACGTGAGATCACACATTACCACTTCCAGGTCTCTCATACTCGACTTACATTCTTTTAAGTGGTTTGTGTTTGACTTAACTCAGATTTTGTTTTCATTTCTCCATTCTTTCGTGACAAACTGAAATTTGTCCTCAGTAAACATCACATTGTCTGTGGCCACTGAAAGACTTGGTTTATATACCGAGTCTAATACGTCAGCAAAGGATGATACAGTGTTTTGATTTACGTCCCTGAGTATGTCGGAAATGAAAATGAGAAAGAGATCTGGGGCTAGTACCGTACCTAGGAGGAGAGAACTTTTTATTTTATCAGCCCTTGATTTTACTGTTTATTAATACTTATTGGGATTCATTTGTTTAATATTTATTTACCCCCACCACCTGGGTTGTGATCATGAAGAGGTGAGCCTGGTGGTCTTGTACAGGTGAAGGCGGTGGTCTTGTACAGGTGAAGGCGGTGGTCTTGTACAGGTGAAGGTAGTGATCATATACGGGTGAGGGTAAGGGTACTATCAGGTGAGGATTGTGGTCATTTAGAGGTTAAATATGTTCATGTGCAAGTGAACGTTTTTGTCATGTACAAGTGAGTTTTTTGGTCACGCACATCCTGAGGGTAGTCCGTTTAGGTGAGGGTGGTGGTCCTTTCTAGGTGACAGCGATGACAATGTATATGTTAAGGTTGCGATCCTATTCAAATGAAGGTGGTAGTCAAATACTGGTGAGGGTAGTGGGCTTTTTAGCTGAGGATAATAGTCATGTGATGCTAAGTAGATGGTCATGTAAGTTATTAATAATCAGCATGGAAAGCTTTCAGTTAATAGATGCGACACTCAAAAATTATCGAATGTAAAACATTAATTTTTCCAATTTGTTTCAGAAAAAGGCAAATTGGAATCTACAAAGGCCAAAATCATTCCAAACTTTTCTCTAAGAAATGTTTACCGGCTTGTAAGAAATTAAGTAAAAAAGTAAGTTTTATAAAACTTAGTGCACATAACATGCAAATTTTTAACTATGGTGTTAAGGACACACAGATGTTACAGACACATCAAATACATTTAGCCCATATAATCTAGGATAAACAAATAAAGTCAAACAATGTTACTTATTTGTAAACAGAAAAGACATTCTTCATTAATTTTATAGAATCAAATTTGATTGGTACAATTGGCACATAACTTAAAGTGTACAACCGAACACAAGAGATGCTTTCCTTTGAGGAAAACACATCAACACTAAAGGATTAAATCTGATCAGAAGATGAGTTGTCCAGTTCCTGCGCAGCATCCAACAAATTTTGTTCCTACACAACCTAAACCCTTTAAACATCGAAGATTTGTGTCATTTGCAATTGTTATATTTCAATTTGAGAAATGCGTTAAACCCTTAGGGATCATATAGCGCCTGATGAATTGGAGGCATTCCAGTTCAATCTAGTCAAGGGGACGAATCCCCAATCAGTATCAAGGAAAAATAATGCAATATGGTGAAATAACAATATATAATTTCGAGATTTAAAGTGGCAAAATGGCTTCTGTATAATCCATCATATAAATACCGATCTCCTTCTAAGTAGATACACGAGTGAGGAAATTTTGATGCCAATTTAAGGAGTTTCTCTCCACTAATCACATGTAAGCAAAATTTATAAATGACCTATGTTAAATTGTACGTCGGGCATCCTCGCGAGAAAATAGTGCCATGAATGTCACCCAAAGTATTCTAGAGTAATAAACGAAAACTAATGAGAAACAAAAGATAAATGTTGATGGGAATATCCAATCTCTTCTTCTTAATTCGCCAGTACTCTTCCAGATCGTGACTCGGCCTTGGCTCCTTGTCTTGAGAGTTTCTGAGACCTATGTCCGCATGGGAGGGGGTACAAGTACCTCCTCATCTTCTGGGACCAACTGTCCCCAGGCCTAACCCCATCCCCCGCACTCACGGGGCTCGTAGGGAGAAACTAGGTCTCTGGTGTGCCATCATCCCCGCCCCAGGGGAGCTCGTGGGAATGGCAGTCTTGTGACCTGCAGGTGGTAACAAGCCCTGGTTCTTATATGATGAGAATATTCCGAAAAACTTGGAAAGTTTCCCCTCGTTAAACTTAAAAACACCATAAAACAACGAATGTTTGCTCTCTCCAGTATTTTTTCCACATCTGTAGGAAAAATTCCCTATTATCCTGTAGGAATTTTTTTATAAGTAGTTTTTAATAAATTTATTTTGGCACCCACATAATCCAAAATTAATAAAAACGTACCTCCTATTAAGATACACCAGCATTTCGGGTTTGAAGCCGATAAAAGGAGGAATTCTCTAGTTATTACATGGAAAACAATTTACTTAAGAAAACTGTCAAATTAAAATTTACTCACTTCAAAGTGACTGACACACTACGTTTAAATAAAGCGAGCAGATGGTAAAAGTTTGATGAGGCTCAGAAAAGGCAGTGTTCGCATCGCTATTGGGCCGTGCGGACGTGCTGCACAGTAGCTCTTGATTGATTTGGGTTTTTGCGCAGTGTTGACGGGTACTTAGCTCTGGAAAAACCTTTTTTTAGCGCTCCTACGAATGAAGAAAACCCCCTCCACGAGCAACTTTACCACAGTTTAAGGGAAAATTTGAGGAGGGCGAAGAGGGAATTCGGCGATGACCGACAAAAACAAAAAGATTCGTATAGTCCTCCTTTTTTGAGTCCTCAGGTCAAAAAGGGGAAAGGGTCAGTGGCTGGACAGCAGGGAACGAAGTTACGATCAAAAAAGGGGAAGGGAAAGGTAGAAACGATAAGAAAAAGGACTGCTGGGAAACTTTTGGGGAAACTCTAATACATTCTCGTGCTACCACGAATGTGAGTCGACTACTGGAAATCACGACAAAACGACACCAAGGAAGGTAAAAATTTTGTTTTGGGGATAGCCAATTTTGGGTATAGGGGATAGGGCGTTCTGTTGAAGGACAGGAGTGGGAGACAGGAGTTTGTTTTTCCTGGGGCGGGGATGGAGGATATTTTTTCCGTCGGGATGAACTGAAGGTAAGGGGACAATCTTTTATCGTTCAGTGCTGGAGGAACGTGGGGGCAGACTGGGGTGAAGACTGATTACGGGTATAGGTCCAATAGAAAAATTGGGAGTAAGAGGGGGAACCCCTGTCATATTGGTATTTTGCCAAGGAAGGAGAGGGAAATAAAAGGGTTTGTCCGGGGCAATTGTGTCAATTTGCTGGCTGGCAAATACTGAAAGGAAAATGCGGAACTTTCATTGAAAACTGGGACCTCTTCAATGGCAAAAAATGAATGTATCCGGGGATGGGGTTCACTTATCTGGGTCTGGGGGGGTAGAACTGGAAAATGCAGTGGAGGGAGCATTGCTTTAATCGGAATATTAGTGGTAGGGTTTTTGGCAGGAAAACAGTGAAGTCCCAGGTATAATTTTACGATTTAGGGGAACTTAATAAGCAAACGAGGTAGATATTAAAAGCCGGGGATTTGGGTGAAAAGGACATAAGGTTTATAAAAAACAAAAATGAGGGGAAGGGTAAAGAGAAAGGAGAGTCTTTATTTTATTTTGCAAATTCTGTATGCTAGGAATAAGATGGCGGTTAGATTTTTTTCTATGCAGGGAAATTGATTATTTTCCTTAACTGAGACGTGGTTTAATTCAAAGAGTGGGGAAAGCCCGTGGAATGCATATTCAGGGTTTTAAAAATTTTCCAAGTAGATAGAAGTATCGGAAAGGGGGTGGGTGGATTGTATGTCCGAGATCGCTTTAACTTTGCATAAAAACGGGGTTTTTGCTGAAGTAAACATACAGTTTGTTTTGGGTAGAT